CACCATCCACACCCCTGGTGCCTCTGAGGAGGTCCTGGGGGGACACAGACCTTGACTCCTCCAGTGACCTAATTACAAACACACCTAGTGACCTCATTATTATGCTCTCATGAATACAACTCTGAGACCCCACAAAGGTTTTATTAATGATTCATCGGCCTTTAAACACATATCAATTCTCTATTCTGGCCGGGGATTTAGCTCAATGGTGCCGCCGCCTGCCTGGAAAGCGCAGGGTCCCGAGTTCGAACTCTGGTACCAAAAAAAGGGAAAGAATTCATGATTCTCTATTCACTTAATTCTTTAGACTCAGGCACCTAAATTCCAACTACTTCCTTTATTTATGGTTTCTCCCTGTGGAGCTCTGGGGAAACAAGACCAAAGCATGGAAGACTCCAGAGCTAGGCATCCTTAGCCAAGGATTCACACCGTTGGTAGAGACAAAACCCACCAAGAAATTCAGCCGACACCAGACGTCCTGGCCACGAAGCACTCTGCCATGCCGGTTTCAGGAGCTGCCAACCTTCCACCACAGGCATTTCTAGCAAGCCAGGGACCCCAGCACACAACCCAGCCTCTGTGGGCCTCTAGGTCTCTCCCGCCACAGCAGGGCCTGTGCTCTCAATGCCGAACAGACTCCATCATGAAGTTCTCTACTGGCACGGTCAAAGCCTGGTACCCAAATCTTGCAAAATAACTTGCAAAAATGCCTTTTTATTAGCCACTAGGTAACGTTTAGCTCAACTTGCTTTTAAATATTTCATTTTTTTCATTACACTTAACATCCTAATAGATAAGTGAATGTTTCTGTATTCTTCACTGCAATGCAAACATCTTTATACTTTCATTTCCAGAAGCCTTCATATTAGTTAAACTGATTTTTTTTTTTTTTGAGACAAGGTGTCACTATGTAGCCCAGGCTAGCCTTGAACTCATGGCAATCCTCATGCTTCAGCCTTCCGAACACCAGAATTACAGATGTATGCCTGCCACCATGGCAAACAAGTTAATTTTTTAAAATGTGGCTTTTCTGGGCCGGGGATTTACCTCAGTGGTTTCGCCGCCTGCTGTGCAAGTGCAAGGACCCAAGTTTGATCCCCAGTACCAAAAAAAAAAATGTGGCTTTTCTTTTTTCAAGCCTATGAGGTACCAGGTATACTGTGTAAATCTAACCCTTACTTTATTCAGAACCCTGTCCATAGCTGGTGGAAATAAAATTGGCAGTGCCTGATGTAGAACAACAGTTTCTAATCCTCCAAAGGAAGTTTCATTATTGCTTGAATTAATGCTGAGTTATAACTAAGGTTTCAAGAATAGGATAAAACAGCCCAGGCCTCTCGGCCCAGACTGGTAACCACCAGGCTTATCCTGACTCCAAAGCCTGCGTTACCCACTCTTTTCCACGACACTACTTTTCCTTCTGAGACCCTCACTGTTCAGGGGACTGTTGAGCCTACCCCTACCCCCTATGCAATGCTGGGAGAGGGGACTTCAGGTCCACACTCTGCAAAGCAGAAAACAGCAAGTATCTATTCCAATTTTAACTGTACAACGTCAGCCTCTTGGGGAAAAGAACTGCAAGATGACACAAGAATGCACATGATCAAACACTGAGAAAATAAAATCCTTCTGAAGGGCACTTTTGGGCAATATTTGATCTCTAGGGCTATAGGTTTTTGGAGAAGCCCCAGGTAGCACGTGGGAAGGGTGGAGGGCCCCTGCTTCTACAAGCTCACTTCTTTGTTCTCCCGTGGCCGGCTGAACTTTTATAACAACTATTCGTGCAGGCTGGAGACTGTATCCAAGCAAACACTGTACAACTTCACTTCCCATCCAGGTTAGGAAAAATGCCTCTGTCAGCAGAGCTTCAGAAACATTGTATAACACTAGAGACACCAGGCTCCAACTCCACACACTGCCCAGGACCCAGGACCTGGTTTCTAGCTGTATCCCCTCAATGCCTTCAAGAGAAAGGTCCCAAAGTCCCAGGCAGGCGTGAGCAGGGCCACCTATGCCTGCCCTTCCTGGCCACCCAGGAAGTCAGGGCCATGATCCTTGCCCCTGTACAAGTTATTTTAAAGAAAAGACAGGAGGAGGAGGACGCTATTTCCCACCCACCCTCTCAGCTTCCCACTGTGGTCACGCTGCCAGGTAAACAGGAAGCTTCGAAGAGACAGATGTGATCTTTTCCATAGGATCAGCTCAGCGTCACTGTGAAAGCTGGGTCTCAAGGCAGATCCCACTTCTAAGAAAAAAGTGGGATCTGTGAGTCACGCACAGATTCATCCAGCTATTCATCCTACAAATATCTGCTGAGCATATATTATGTGCTGGGCACCATCACTGGGAAAATACTTGCCCTCGTAAAAAAGCAATTGAGTGAGAGGATAAGGGGAAAGCAATGAAATAAACCCTAAATATATTGCATGTTAGAAAGTGAGGAAGAACTGGGAGTGGTGGTGCATGCCTATAATATCATCACTCTGGGAGGCTGAGGCAGGAGGATCACAAATTTGAGCCAGGCCTGGGCAACTTATCAACTTAGTGAGACCCTGTCTCAAAATAAAAAATCAGAGGGGCCAGGGATTTAGCTCAGTGGTTCCAGCGCCTGCCTCTCAAGCGCAAGGTCCCGAGTTCGATCCGTGGTACCAAAAAAAATTTAAAAATAAAATAAATCAGAAAAAGGCTGGAGATGTAGCTCAATGCACTATAACTCAGGTTCCATCTCCAGTCCTGAAAAACAAACCTGAGAATGTGTATAAGAAATGTGTGTGTGAGCAGGGGTGTAGGAGAGAGAGAACATTATAATCCTCAAATGAAACAAAAGTTTGTGTTTCTGAAGTTGTGTGATTCAGATTAATCTCTACACCTTACATGTTCACACTCCTACCATCTAATAACGAATTTATTATTGTAATAGAAAAGATATTTCTTCATTACAGCACCTTCAAGTTTTATTTCCAATCCCTGTTAGCCACTTCCACTTGCTTCCCTCCAAACAAAAGTCTAGAACTGGCCACCACCACGATCATCATTTTAGCCTGTTATTTTCATAAACACAATATACGTTTAAACTCTACAGATATGTCCCTAAAACTTTACCAACTGGAGTTGCCCTGTGTTCCATCAGTCTTGACTTCACAACATTCCTAAGTAGCCGTGGGAAGCCCAGGGTGGGGGCAGCATCCTAAGTCACCGGTCACCAATAGGCACAGCCATGCCAACTTGCTTCTGGCTTAAGGCTCAAAGGTCAGGCAACGGCAGCAAAAGTGTTAACCTTGCACAATCCATGGGGTCATCCAGAAATATAGCAGTGTCCTCTTTTTGTGGGCTTGCCTCCTCTTTCAGTTGATCCCGTTGCCTTTAAGAAATGTCTACATATTCACAGCAAGTTGAAGCCAAAGGAAATAGCAAGGAAGACTAAAGCCACAGGTATTACATGGGACCTGCTTTGTTGTGGAATACAATGGTGAGGGCTCCCCAGGCATTCACAGTTCAGTGCGGAGACACCCAGGACATCAAAGTCAGAAACACTCCTGAGGGGACACAGACCTGATGCTGGACCAGGCATTGGATGGGCATCGGATGGGCAGCTCTGCCCTGGGCCTGTGCCCTGCTAGATGGTGAATATGATGGAGTCTGCAACCCCTTGAGATCCTTTCCAAAGCAGCACAAGGAGCATGCCCTTGGTCAGCACGTGGTGATCTAAGTGGAGGAGTGAAAGTGTTTGTGAATCGCCCTTACATTTTCCAGTTTGCAAGTTTCTAAACTCTGTGCTCAGCTTGCACTAAAGGAGACATTTACAGGCCAGGCACCTACTCACTGCACCCTAGGCAAGATCCTCACCCTCAACCATCAGGCTCAAACTTCTTTTCAGCCTCTTCGCAGGGCACCTACCATCCAGGGTGTCACCAAGTCCTGCTTCCGAGACACCCCAGCTCTGGGCAATACGGTGATATTCAAGGTTCCTTCAGGGCCCCTGCAGCCTCCTGCCCCTACACCAGCTCCTCTCCCAAAAGCCACCTGCGGCCCAAGCTGTCCCTGCAGCTCCAAGACCAGGGGCCACCCGACCAGAGCTTCCTACAGCCCACCACCACTTCTAGCCACAGTCCCACTGGTCTTCCTCCTGGGGTCTCAGTGAAGCCTCCTCGAGAGCCCAGCCCCAATCCCACCTGACTTCACGCACGAGGACCTCACCAGACTGGCCCTGGATCAAGTCTCCAACAATCAACTTGGGAACCTAGTGGGGTCCTTTGACTCCTCCAGTCTCACTCTTCTGAGTAGTGGGGATGTGACAGGTTACTCTAGAGACCCCTTTCTTCACATTCTGAAATCAAATCTTCATCTCCATCCCCTAATCTAGCCAGATTTGCCCTCACTCACCTATTTAAACAGGTATTCTAAGTAATCAAACAAACTGCCCTCAATTTCAAAAAGCTTTGGATACTAACTTTTGGGGGGGGGGGGAAGCCTTGTTTTTCATCAACTTCACAAGCCTGAGGGTTTTTAAATTTTTCCTTATTCCTCAGAAGACACTGGGGGGAAGGGGACCCGAAGTGCTCAATTCTCCCCCTAAGATCATGAGGTTGGGAGGCGTGTTGCCTCTGTTTCCCCCTCGGGGCGCAGAGAGAGACAGACACGCCGCCGGATGGTCGCGGTACCCTAGGTGACTTCGCCGTGGGCCGGCCGCGCGTCTCCACAGGGTCACCACCTGGGCCACTGCGTCCTGATGGCCCGGTTGGGCCTGCCCTGCGCACCCCGCCGTCGCCCCCAACCCACGACTAGCTGTCCCCGGAGGCGGGGTGGGAGGTCCCTAATCCTCCGGTCATCCCTAGCCCGCGTCCCTCCCCCATTCCCGAGCCAAAGGTGGCCTCCAGGCAGCCCCTGGCCAGGTGGCCGAGGCAGGTGCCAGCCGCGGTCTCCGGCTCCGCCTGGCCCGAGATCTGGAAGCAGAGCGCCCTCGGCAGCCGGAGACCGGCGCCCCCGCCCCGCGTCCTTACCCGAGAGGCGAGCGCCTCCCTCGCCGTGCCCGCGCCGCCGCTGCAGGACGAAGTAGCAGCTGCTCTTCTGGGTCACCCAGAGCTTCAGCGCGTTCTTCAGCAGCACCTCTTCGGGCTTCAGCCACATCGCGGCGACCGGCCGCGCCCGCGGGGCCCGGATCACATCGCCCCGGCCGCACCGGGGGAGCCCGCTCGGGAGGAGGTGCAATAGCTGCGGAGCCGTGCCCGGCGGAGGGCAGCGCGCGGAGTCCAAAGCGCACGGGCGCAGTTCGACCCGCGCACCGCCCACCGCGCACCACGCCCCGCGCCCGCGCCGGCCCCGCCTTCTCCCCGCCCCGAGACAGGCCCCGCCCCG